GCTAGGTTGGCGGGAGCTGGGACAAGCGACGAGCGCTCACTCCATCGCGTGGATTCGATCTTACGACTGCTTGGTCTTCTGACCCTGCAGCACAGGCTTCTGCGGTTTAGCCCGCAGCGCCACCATGTCCGTATCCCATGGAAACAGTGGGTGAAAAAGTCTCATGGAGGGATGCTGAGCTTCTGAATATACCACAACACTGCTGGTGGTGAATGAGAAAGAAGCTATAGAATGTAGCATGAGCAAGGAGGTGGGAGGAGAGTTGACAAATATTAGCTGGGTGCTGTCCTTCAGCCTTCCTCCAGGAACAGTCTGTTCTCTTTTGACAGGAGAAAAACACTCCCCTCCTACAGTGATGGCCAAGCAGAAGGAAAAAAGAAGAGTGTAAAAGGCAAGCCCTTGCTACAGGGTTTCTCACTCTGTGGGAAAGGGGAAGGACAATGAACATCAATAATGTTCATTGTTTGAAACATCTGCTATTCAGGCCAACGCTGCAGCCTGCAGAAGAGAAAAACAGAATAGCTAATCTTATTTCCTCGCATTTAGTTGTGGGTATGTTGTAAGCTGCTTTGGGGCTCTTTCATACAGTGGAGCAGTGTCAAATGAGTTTTTATTCCTTTGGTATCTGCAAGGCCCAACAGATTTTGCAGTGCACTCAAATTCAAATCTTGCCCATTTTGAGTTTTCTGTCAAATTTCCATTCTAGGACCTGCACATTTTGATACCCTAGCTATTCCAAACCCAACACAGAAGACAGGGAGCAAAGTGTCAGTAAATTTAAAGAAAATCTATTTTTGGATTTCACAGTGACATGGCCTGTCCACACTGTGATATTTGGTGCAATCTGGCTGGTGCTTTAAAAGTCCTTATCTTCAGTGCAATCTATTTTAACTCTTTGCACCCATCTGTATAGGCAGAACAAAGAGCTGTTTTGCCTCTCAATGAACCATCTCAAAAAGTTTACATGCCTTAGCCCTGTGCCACAAAGCTATGGGCCAGCTCTTAAAGGGGAAAGATGAAGCAACTTAAGTAGAAACACAAGCAGACAAGGTGTTCCCCCACCCCCATTCCAAACAGTGCTATCAGGCAACCATACAACATAACTATGAATATGTCACTCTGGACAAGCAGTTGTAAAAAAAAAAGAGGCCAAATGGGGAAAAGGAAAGGCAAATTGATGGGAGGTGGGATCTTAAGTTGTTGTCCGCATGTTCCTACAAGAAGTAATGCCAGGAGAGTTGCAACAGACAAAGACTTGGCTCTCACTGGATAATAGGAATATTAAATATCACCTACTATAGCCTGTACTCACTCAGGAATGTTAGGGAATTTTGGATGACCAAAAGTTTCAAGTGAATGTATTCGCTGTTCCACATAGTAGCCAACACCATTATCAACCCAGCTCTTTTCAACCCAGCTTCATTAATTCCTGTGCTAATAACAACAAATTACAATCCAGCCCTTCCCCTACTTTTTAATTCCTTTCATCTTTTCTTGGTCTCCATACTTGTGTCATTTCCCTGAGCATGAGAGTGTTCTTTTGAAAATTTGCAGTTCTTTGTCCCTTTGTATATTTTAATGCATTCTTGCTGGCCTGATCAATGTGCACAACACCATCGCCAGCCTGGTGTAGTGCAAAGGTGGTTGTAGTAGGACTGAGGAGACCTGAGTTCAAAGCTCCACTCAGCAGTGGCAATGCTAAAGCATTCCTTGAACATACCTCAAAAACCCTATTAGGTTCGCCATAAGTCCAAAGTGGCTTGGCATTACATAACAAAAAATAAAGCTATTTGCTTAGTATATACAAAAGAAAAGAAATTGTAGCAATTACTGCTGCAGACGCCTTCCCCTAGGTTGTGACTCTGGGTTTAAGAGCACCATTCTTGCATTTATTTTGCATTTGAGGCTGTGACTGCACAGTCAAATACTGTGGGATTCACCAATGGATGAATTCATCTCTCTTTTTTTCCTACTGATTTTATTTTGTTCCTTTATTTGCTTATTTCTTTGTGGGCTGCCTTTCTCCCAATAAGGCAACCCACTGATCACATGACACAAAGGCCAGTTCGAATTCATTCAGCCCTTTTTGCTCCCAACATTACGGGTTTTTTTTTCTCTCTGCTGCTGGAGGCTTTTCCTTTTTTAAAAGTCGGAATTGTACAAACATTGTTTCCCTGTACACGATTGTTTGTTGCATTGTAGAAAAGGATATGTGCATGACTGTGGGTGGTATTCTAGTGACGTACTAAGTTGGGCATGATATTTTGGACAGTGGGAACAGCCACGCCTGCAATCTTTCTCCCTAGTTGCCTTCTAGCATTATTTTTTTCAGAACAAACTACGAAGTTTAACACTAGATCACCTTATCATTACATTGATATACTGGTTTAGTGTAGCTAGATCACTTCTGCATCGACAAAAAAAGAAAAGATAAAAATCTATATGAAATAGAACCAACAACAATGAACTACAGCAGACTACTATGTTTCCACAGTATGTGTGTATGTGTTTGTACATTATGGAGAAATTTGGAAAACTGCCCCTTTTCACAACATTTTAAATAGCCTTCCGGCTTTAAAATGAATGATAGAAGGAGAGCTGAAGGTTGGTAGAGGGTGGGATCAGAGGAAGCGTAACTGTGGGCTCGGGTGGGGATATAACCATGTCAGATTGATAGGCCAGTGTAGACACTGGGAACAAACAAATCCATGGTTTCCATGTGATCATCTAATCTGAACAAAAGCATAAAACAGGTTGTGAATCAAGCCGCAGCAAAGCCAAACCACTTTGATTTGGTTTGCCAGTGTAATTGCAGCTTCAGTTAAATTATAATGAGCTATTAGCATGATTTTTAAAATTCTAGCAAACCTGCCTTTCATTTTCATTAGCTATTTTCATTTTATTTTAGTAAAAATGGTGACAAGCCTAGCACTAGCTGAGAGCAAGCAATGTTTGTCAGAAAGCGGTTTCTTTATTGATAATGTTATCCTTCTTGATCATTTTCCCCCTTAGGAAGAGAAGAAAAAAGAGGCAAAGACTCTTGAAGAAAAGCGGAAAGACCTGAAAAAAACCAGAACATTTGATCTGAAAAAAGAAGAAAATATCCAAAAAGCAAATCAGAAAGGAAAGGATGAACCAGACAGGAGTAAGAAAACTGGACTACTGAAAGAAGAAAAGACTCCCAATGTGGAGAAGAAAATATCCAAGGAAACAGACAAAAATACAACAGCTAAAGTGAGAGGGGAAGAAAAGGGTACAACACTAAAGAATAAACTAAGAGAGGACAAAGCAAAAGAAGAGAAGCCAGCAGAGCTGAAGAGAGGGACTGAGAAGGGTAAAAAGGGTGAAGATAAAAAAGAATCTGAGAAAATAGGGGAGAAAATAACAGCCTTAAAACAAAGCTCAGACAGAAAAAGAGAAGATAAAAAAGAATCTGAGAAAACAGAAGAAAAAAGCTCCCCTTTGAAGAAAGGCTCCACAGTTGGCAGTGAAGAGAAATCATCAAAAGACAGAAAAGGGGCGTCTGAGGGGAAGGCCTCTGTGCCAGAGGTAGAGAAGCCAATAAAGGACACTAATGAGAGCACACCTTCTAAATCTGCAGACAACTCCTCCAACCAGAGCAAGGAAGACGAAGCCACTAGTATTTTTGACGAACCATTAGAAAAAGTGAAGAATAATGACCCAGAAATGGTAGAGGTTAATGTCAATAACTCCGACTGTATCACCAACGAGATCCTAGTGCGCTTTGCAGAGGCCTTAGAATTCAACACTGTTGTCAAAGTCTTTGCTCTGGCCAACACAAGGGCTGATGATCATGTTGCTTTTGCCATTGCCATCATGCTGAAGTCCAACAAGACACTGACCAGCATCAATCTAGACTCAAATCACATCACCGGCAAAGGCATCCTGGCCATCTTCCGTGCATTGTTGCAGAACAACACGCTGACAGAGCTACGCTTTCACAACCAAAGGCACATCTGTGGAGGGAAGACTGAGATGGAGATAGCCAGCCTGCTGAAGGAGAACACAACCTTGTTGAAGCTGGGTTACCACTTTGAGTTAGCGGGACCCCGCATGACTGTCACTAACTTGCTGAGCAGGAACATGGACAAACAGCGGCAGAAACGTTTGCAGGAGCAGAGGCAGGCTCAGGAAAAGGGGGAAAAGAAGGATTTCCTTGAGGTGCCAAAAATTGCTGTCCTGCCCGCTGGCTCCCCTAAGGTTTCTCCAAAATCATCTCCCAAGACTTCCCCGTGGTCTTCCCCGAAATCACTCCCCAAGAAAGCTGGAGCCCCACATGCACCTCCTCCACCCCCACCTCCTTTGGCCCCTCCTCCTGCCCCTCCTCTGATCAATGAAAACTTACGGCTGTCCCTCTCCCCAGCAACTCAAAGGAAAATGGTTGAGAAAGCTCTTCCTCCACAAGAGAAGAACTCTAGGGATCAGCTGCTGGCTGCTATTCGATCCAGCAACCTCAAGCATCTGAAGAAGGCAAGTAAAGGGCAAAAGTGAAGGTCAAACTGGGATGGAGCCTCTAGAGTATACAGTTGGTTCCTCAAAGCTAAACCCTTGTTAATGTAAACAAAGATAAACTGGTCCATGAAAACAAAACATCCACAAGTGGAGAATGCTTTTCTTAGGACCAAAGTAAAATTCCACAAAAGATTCATGTTTTGGAGTTCTCCGGAATTCGTGATCATGCTAGATGGTTTGGCCAGGTATTGTTGTGGCCATGAAGTCTGCTCAGCCCTGAAAAGGAGCTATCAGAGCAACTGAGGCACAGGTAGATGTGCAATAACAGATTATACCTAGCGATGATAAAGAAGAAACGGCAGGTCTCTATCTTCCTTGGGTGGTAGATGCAGCTGCAGTATTTGCCAATGTAAATTTTAATCAAAGCAAAGCATGCTGCTTATATACCAGCCCATAGCACTTGAAACACTCTCTAGGCAGTTTACAATTTAATTATGCAGGCCACACATTGCTCCTCCCACCCCCATCCCCCCAGCAAGCTGGGTACTCATTTTATCGACCTCAGAAGGATAAAAGGCTGAGTGAACCTTGAGCCTTGAGCCAACTACCTGGAATTAAACCCCGGATCGTGAGTGCAATTTTGTTTCAGTACAGCATTTTCACTACTGCACCATGAGGCTCCTAATGATAATGGTAGCTTATCACTAGAGCTCCAACACACACACACACACAAACGAGCTTGTGTGTTTTATGAAGTAATATTCTTCTGCCAATTGTATCCTGAAGCGTTGTAGTTTTGAGATGTTGCAGAGTTCTGGCTGACATTCTCCAGGGCCAGGATGGTTCCTTCAGAGCTAAATGTTATATTATTTAATAGCAGTATTTAAAACAGGAATCTATTTGATATTTCCTGCTAAAGTGGCTCCCTGGAATAAATTGCTAGATGATGAGTCAACATATATGTAAAACATATTGATTGGATCAATTCTAGCTGGGAGTCTATTGAATTCCGGCCAGTTCTCAGAGTTGCTTTAAAGCAATTAAAATTTAATAACAATAAATAAATAAATATGCTTATATAGATAAGATGCAGCAGAAATTTTGTATAAAATGAAATAGTGTTGGCACAACTATGCCTGTGGAAGGTTGATGATGTCATCAGAAGGGGGCGATTTACAGAAATTAAACACTTCCTTCTTCTTTGCCACAGCTTCCACAGCTCCTGCTCCTGTATAATCCCTTTCATCAGGTAGAAGCCATGGGAGCTGCAGAAAGGAAGGAGGAAGTCAGATCTTGCACTAACATGCACACTTTTTGTTTTTATGTTGGTAGGTGGAGGTTCCCAAGTTACTGCAATAAGGAATGGAGTCTAAATTCCCTAGAAAGATGAGATTGCCGAGGTTGGATCACTGTGTTTGTCTCTCAGGTGACTGTTTACATGAGAATGACTCTACAGGAACACTAGCTTGTCCTCTACTAGTTCCAGATGAGCTGTGGGATTGGATGGGATTGGATTAATTGGTTGGATGGGTTGCCCAAGAGGTGTTGCATCAGAAAGAAGCAATATTCATTTTAATGCTTTTTTTAAACCATGAAACTTTTCCTCTGAAAGAGAGATGTTGCAGAAGTTCAGAGGGTTGGCTTTCACAACCAAAGGCACATCTGTGGAGGGAAGACTGAGATGGAGATAGCCAGCCTGCTGAAGGAGAACACAACCTTGTTGAAGCTGGGTTACCACTTTGAGTTAGCGGGACCCCGCATGACTGTCACTAACTTGCTGAGCAGGAACATGGACAAACAGCGGCAGAAACGTTTGCAGGAGCAGAGGCAGGCTCAGGAAAAGGGGGAAAAGAAGGATTTCCTTGAGGTGCCAAAAATTGCTGTCCTGCCCGCTGGCTCCCCTAAGGTTTCTCCAAAATCATCTCCCAAGACTTCCCCGTGGTCTTCCCCGAAATCACTCCCCAAGAAAGCTGGAGCCCCACATGCACCTCCTCCACCCCCACCTCCTTTGGCCCCTCCTCCTGCCCCTCCTCTGATCAATGAAAACTTACGGCTGTCCCTCTCCCCAGCAACTCAAAGGAAAATGGTTGAGAAAGCTCTTCCTCCACAAGAGAAGAACTCTAGGGATCAGCTGCTGGCTGCTATTCGATCCAGCAACCTCAAGCATCTGAAGAAGGCAAGTAAAGGGCAAAAGTGAAGGTCAAACTGGGATGGAGCCTCTAGAGTATACAGTTGGTTCCTCAAAGCTAAACCCTTGTTAATGTAAACAAAGATAAACTGGTCCATGAAAACAAAACATCCACAAGTGGAGAATGCTTTTCTTAGGACCAAAGTAAAATTCCACAAAAGATTCATGTTTTGGAGTTCTCCGGAATTCTTGATCATGCTAGATGGTTTGGCCAGGTATTGTTGTGGCCATGAAGTCTGCTCAGCCCTGAAAAGGAGCTATCAGAGCAACTGAGGCACAGGTAGATGTGCAATAACAGATTATACCTAGCGATGATAAAGAAGAAACGGCAGGTCTCTATCTTCCTTGGGTGGTAGATGCAGCTGCAGTATTTGCCAATGTAAATTTTAATCAAAGCAAAGCATGCTGCTTATATACCAGCCCATAGCACTTGAAACACTCTCTAGGCAGTTTACAATTTAATTATGCAGGCCACACATTGCTCCTCCCACCCCCCCCACCCCCAGCAAGCTGGGTACTCATTTTATTGACCTCAGAAGGATAAAAGGCTGAGTGAACCTTGAGCCTTGAGCCAACTACCTAGAATTAAACCCCGGATCGTGAGCACAATTTTGTTTCAGTACAACATTTTCACTACTGCGCCATGAGGCTCCTAATGATAATGGTAGCTTACCACTAGAGCTCCAACACACACACAAACGAGCTTGTGTGTTTTATAAAGTAATATTCTTCTGCCAATTGTATCCTGAAGCGTTGTAGTTTTGAGATGTTGCAGAGTTCTGGCTGACATTCTCCAGGGCCAGGATGGTTCCTTCAGAGCTAAATGTTATATTATTTAATAGCAGTATTTAAAACAGGAATCTATTTGATATTTCCTGCTAAAGTGGCTCCCTGGAATAAATTGCTAGATGATGAGTCAACATATATGTAAAACATATTGATTGGATCAATTCTAGCTGGGAGTCTATTGAATTCCGGCCAGTTCTCAGAGTTGCTTTAAAGCAATTAAAATTTAATAACAATAAATAAATAAATATGCTTATATAGATAAGATGCAGCAGAAATTTTGTATAAAATGAAATAGTGTTGGCACAACTATGCCTGTGGAAGGTTGATGATGTCATCAGAAGGGGGCGATTTACAGAAATTAAACACTTCCTTCTTCTTTGCCACAGCTTCCACAGCTCCTGCTCCTGTATAATCCCTTTCATCAGGTAGAAGCCATGGGAGCTGCAGAAAGGAAGGAGGAAGTCAGATCTTGCACTAACATGCACACTTTTTGTTTTTATGTTGGTAGGTGGAGGTTCCCAAGTTACTGCAATAAGGAATGGAGTCTAAATTCCCTAGAAAGATGAGATTGCCGAGGTTGGATCACTGTGTTTGTCTCTCAGGTGACTGTTTACATGAGAATGACTCTACAGGAACACTAGCTTGTCCTCTACTAGTTCCAGATGAGCTGTGGGATTGGATGGGATTGGATTAATTGGTTGGATGGGTTGCCCAAGAGGTGTTGCATCAGAAAGAAGCAATATTCATTTTAATGCTTTTTTTAAACCATGAAACTTTTCCTCTGAAAGAGAGATGTTGCAGAAGTTCAGAGGGTTGTGTAGGTGGACCTTTTGTCCTACAGTATTTTTCTTGCAGGAGCTTAGAAATTAAGGATGAGGTAAGTCTTGAAGCAGATTCTATGTGGGGCATCTCTGTTGATCTTGCCAGGCACCAGACAACACCACTGCAGTCACATGCCGCTAGGAATATATAGAAGAGCAAATCTACACCAGAGCAACAGCACAGTGGGAAAGTCACCGGGCCCATCTTCAGCAGGAAAAGACTGCAAAAGAAGCAACACCCAGATTCTTGCCACTCTCTGCTAGGTGTAACTGGCAGCATCATCACACTCAGTCTATCTGAAATATGGTGAATTTAGAGGATGGGGGAGAAATCACGGGGCCAAATCCAATTTTCCAGTGTGTCTGTGGTCTCAAGGATTCCATTCCTCTGATGTAAAATGCAAAGGCTGGCTTATATAAGCTGGGTTTCTTTTGTTCCCAGAAGAGGAGAATAGAGCTCTGTTCATTTCTGCCTCTGTTTTCTGTATACCTGTGTGAAGGGCTTCTTATGATCCCATGGACCTAACTAAGTGAGTATATGGGCTGGCAATGGAAGTAGGAATGGATGATATTGCTGAAGGATCTACATGGTGCTTGTACCTCTGAAGGGGAGCATCATCTTGCAAACAAGATTTGCAGACCTCAACCTCAGAGGCCTTTTGGGAGAGAAGGGTGTTTGACCCATGGAGCATGAGAAGTGTAATGGAAAAGGTAAAGAGTGACTCCTACATATCTACGTGAAAAGATTTGGGGAATATTGCATCTTCTGCAGTGCTCAGGGCAAACACTCTCAGCCATTTATTAAGACTGGTGCACGCTCCGGTTGAGTCACTGTAGCAGAAGCAATAACAATCTAGCAGTCAACACAAAGCTGCACTTATTTGTTAAAAATGCAAGACAAGACTTATTTGGGGACCAGGTTTCTGTGCCAGTTCCTGTTTTAAGAACAGGTTGCTTATTTATATAGCCAAGAGAGTGGCACTTGTGACTAGTTTCCAATTGACTACCAGAGCTTGGAAAAAAATGGCTTATTTGAGCCACAAGTCCTAGAATGCTCTGTCAGCACAGACATGCCAGTTGGGGATTTCTTTGAATTACTGTCCAAAAAAAATATGAGTTTTTCTTTACTCTGAAGTGTTGGTAGGTCATGCGTATGGATGACGAGGATGCTGTGTCTTCAGTCCAACCTATGTGCCACTTTTACCACAATTCTCTCATTTCTTTCCTTCTAAGTGGAGACCCATTCATATCTTGCCTTTGCAGCACTGCAGTCACTTATTATTTCCTGTGCATGGATCCCACAAAGTACTTGTTCACATACAAATATTCTGCATCACATGGGTAGCCAAGATAGAAAGGGCACAATCTACGCTGGCACTAGCAGCTGGGATGGAAGGACACTAGCAAGGGGAGTACCCATGCAATTCAGGCTGCCCACATGGTAACAGGATAATTTCATAGTGCTAAAGAGTGCAGTTTCAAAGCGGCAAATATGTCACAAAGGGGGTATGTAAGATAAGTGCCTGAGAGGAAAAAATTGAGCTCATCTGCTATATTGCTGTTCTCATTCTCAATGCCAGTAAAAAGGATTTTCCCTCCACTAGTTCAGAGTGTAGAACATGTGACCCACCGACCCTCAGATGCTGTGGTTTCATGCCAGGCCACAAGCATTGGGGCTGTATATTGAAACAGAGAGCAGGTGGAGGTGACATTTTCTGGAGTTTGTTCATCAAAGTTCTGGAAATCTGATCAGGCAGCACAGAATGGTAATAAAGAAGTGAACCCCCATGTTGTTCCCCACAGTGGCTTCCTTGGTAGAACACACAGAAATTGTAACTCCTAGTTAACCTTTCCCTGGTGTATAGCTGTTTTCACTAAGCACTCGGAGAGCCTTAAAATGATGTGCTTATTTTTGCTCTCATCTTTTCAACCTGTGCCTCTTCCTGGGACAAAGGAACCTCACATCTACTTCAGTCTTCTCATACTTTCCTGTCAACTGTGCTCCTTCTGGAAAAGCACTGACCATTGGGGCACTGAATTCTTTTTCCACATGATCATCCCCTGGCTTCATGAAGCTGCCTCAGCAAGGTGGCACATTATAGGATTCCAGCTCATACTGGCCCCAGCCAGCATAAACAAAGATAAAGCATGAGGGAAACTATAGTCTGACAACATCTAGAGCAGTGGTGTCGAACTGTGGCCCTCCAGATGTTCTTGGCCTTCAACTCCCAGAAATCCTGGCCAGCAGAGGTGGTGGTAGAGGCTTCTGGGAGTTAAAGTCCAAGGACATCTGGAGGGCCACAGTTCGACACCACTGATCTAGAGGATCACATTTTCTTTACTGCCTGCTCTATCCCACTGAAGGAAATAGGTGACAAAGGTATATGGTATGAACTGGGCAGAGATCAAAAACTTTACCTCTACGCTTTACATGTAGACGAAAAGGCAAGGGGAACCTGGCCACAGCAGTCGGGAATGTGTATTGTAGTGATTACAGAGGGACTGCCTCTTCACTCCTACATGTGATGATGAATAATGGACAGCCCCATCTGCTAAACAGTTCAGCTGAATTGGATGGTATCCAGTGTACTGCCCTGCATATAAATCTAAGTCATGAGCTTAACTAGTTTATGACTCAGGCTATAAATTTATATATATATGCATTGTATGACTATAAGAGTCTCATATATATATATATATATATATGGATGGGGAAAACTAATATAAATCTGAGTAGAGAAGAATTATGTGTCTTACACAAGCTTACCCAAGCATGTCTACACTGATATGATGCCAAGTGGTACAGGTGCAAATGGTGGTCTATTTAAATCAAGTTCTAAATCAGGAGATCCATTTATAGCTTCTCTGCAGCCTGGTAAGAACCAGCAAGAATTCAATTCACACCCAGAAACTGACCCATAGCTCCCTCTCCCAGGCCACCTGTGTTGACGTTCATCCTTCCATGAAGGACAAGTGGAATTCCTAGTAAATTAAAGCATCTTTGGAAATCTTTATAACTCAACATGTCACCCCAGCTGAGCAGACAAACTGCAGGTAAAAAGATTGTAACTGTTACACATGAAATGAGAAAGAGGACAGAATTTCTCATATGAGAAATATGTTAAATTTGTTTTTGAAAGGTAGGATTTGAATGAAAGTCTTGATTGCTGTATACAAAATACACTGATTTCTCTTTTTACTATTTTCTATGTGCTGATTTGGGAAAATGATGGGGAGGGGGTCTGCTGCAGTTTTCTGCTCTGTAACTCATGGACATAAATCCTATCTGCAGAATGTATACACTCACCCACACTTTTGTTAATAAAGCTTGCAAAATGCTGTTGATTATGAGTATTGGAACAACTATCGGGGAGAGGGAGGCGTGGCATATCATTAGACCTGATTCAAGTTGCTGCAGAAAGGAACAGTTTTAGGGCTGTGTCAGTTAGAAGCCATCTTTTGTACCCAGCTTCCTGTCCCAGAATCATGGTTCAACCACCTCATCAACTAGTATGTATCTCTGGCCACTTGGGAAGTGGGACACTTAGAACTGAAAAGCAATGATTCGTTGAGATTATGGTTTCTGGCAACACTTAATCTATGGTATTATTGAGACAGGTACAGTATATAGATTGCTGTTTGAATTGCTGTTGGTAAGGTTTGGTTCAAACAAAATTACACCATCCACACATGTTTCTACTTAGATTGATCTGTCCTGCCCCATTAAGAGCCATCTTGCTCCTTTATGGCACAGCATTAGGGGCTTCTGTTTTGCTTTGTTTTTAATGATTCATGCACTTCTGATTATCCTGTTGTCTGGCTTATGCGGATGGTTATTATGTACCCAAATGGACTCCAAGGGCTCCACCTTACAAGGCAGTACAAGAGCCCCAAGGAGAAAGATGCGGAAAAGGGAAGGTTACCTGCCTTCCACCTCCCCAATCTTGCCCTCAACATTTCCCCTTCATGCCACCAATGTCCTCCACTGCCGTGTCCTTACTTGTGAGTAAACCAAGTAAACTTAAATGCATGTAAACTGGGTAAACCTTGCTCGTGTGTAAACCTGCAGTCTAAAGACCTGTGTGGATCCTTCTCATGGGAGAACAAACATCTCCAGTGTGAATGGAAGGGTCACTCAAGTGAGAGAGAAAACAGATTGCACTGAAGAAACAAACATTTTAGGTATGATCCAGGCTGCTCCAAATTCCCTTATCTGGACAGCCTCTTCTGCTTCCATGTGGGTCATACGAGCTGCAATAGCTGAGAAAACAAACTGGAAATTTGATTTCTATAAGGACCCACTGGAGTAGGGCAGAAACTTAAGATGTGCTGCTGGGGTGGAACATTTGTTTGTGTACAAACACAAGCCTGTCATGCAGCCTGAGTGCACTGGGCACTGTGTCAGAGAAGAATATCTTCTCCCTGCTGCTGTCAGTTCAATGGATTGTGTGTCAGCTTACAGAGAACACAATTATTGCAGAGGGTCTGACTCCAAAAGCAGTTGGATTACTTGTCTGACTCTGGAGAAATGTCTATATTTGGGCATTTTGCATAGACTAGCCGAAGCAAAACTTAATTCCTTTGCTCTGCCTAATAGTGGGAAATCTTCCAGCTGCCCTGAACAGCCAAGAAGTGGAGGACATGAGACCTGGTCTCTTCCATAACCACTAGCTGCATTTCCAGTGGGGTGTGTTTTGCCCATACACACATACATAAACATGCACGCCAGGCCTTACCTCAGTCAGTGCCGTTTCCACCTGTGGTTCTTCTGCTGTTGCTACAAATTTATTTATCACCTACCAGCATGCAATCAGCTGTCCTCTTCTGAGAGCTCCCAGTGGACCGTCTGCCATCACAGATGCCCCTCAGCTTTTCAAAGTCAGTTCTACATTGCAAACTGTTCCACAGGTGGCAGATGGAAATAGAAAAGCAGGGCATATTACTTTCATAATATCTAGTTGCAGGGCCAGCCTAAAACTATCGAATGCTTATGTTCAAAGGCTTCGTTTCCTGATGACTTCAAAAGCCATTTTTGTCTGCAGATATACTTGGTGTGTGTGATTTTCAGAGGGTTGGATCCAGACTTACAAGTCACAGAAAACTGCTCATATCAAAGGGAGTGGAGAAGATTTTGCTGGTACAGTGTTTCCCTTTCCCTTGCATACCGCTGCAAATCATCTCTGGTGGATTGAGAGACCCTTCAAAGCCATGTGGAGACTAGAGGATAAACAGTTAAAACTGTGTCCTCTGGTGAGAGCCTCCATTAGAGCTGTGTATTCTGTGAGCAGAAGCAGCTCTTTGTAACATCCAGTCTGGATTCATCTCACTGTGTCATATTCAATCTCACCCTGGGATACTATTTCTGAAACACCCGTGCTGTATCTGGTCACAAAATATTCTAGATGTAGGTCCATTTTGAAACAGTCCTATAATATTACATGCAAATTAAACATACAACACGCATAAATATTACTGGGGTGCTTTAGTAATCCTACAGTCAAAATGCATAATTACATTTAGATTATACTGATATATAGTGCTCTTGTTTGAAGACACAGATTATATGTGCCTATTTTTATTTCTTACCTTTACATCCCACTTTTCTTCCAGTAAGGTCAAGCTGTCATATATGATTTTCCTTCTTCCACACTTTATCCAGATGGAGGTGAGAGAGCATGATTGGCCTACTTAGCAAGCTTTATCTGGGATTTGAACCCAGCTCTCCTGAGCCCTAGTTCAATAGACTATCCTCTTTACCATGCTGGTTCTGTCCAGCTGTACCGGCACTTTCATATTTGTCTCTAGTGCAATAATAATTGTGTGTCATCAAGTCACTGCTGACTTATGTGATTCTACCTCAGGATCTCCTAGATAGAAAGCACTAAAAATTGCCAGTGTTGCTTTCTGGAAGAGCCCTGGGATGGTGCAGCTTGTCAAAGGTTACACAGGCTGGCTCTTCTCACAGAAAGCTCAGTGTGGAATTAAACTTCTGACCCCTGCTATTCCCACTTGGTGGGTTCTCCAGACACTGGTCTATGGCGTAAAGCAGTGGTGTCGAACTGTGGCCCTCCAGATGTTCTTGGCCTTCAACTCCCAGAAATCCTGGCCAGCAGAGGTGGTGGTGAAGGCTTCTGGGAGTTGAAGTCCAAGAACATCTGGAGGGCCACAGTTCGACACCACTGGCGTAAAGGTAAAGGTAAAGGTTCCCCTTGACAATTTTTGTCCAGTCGTGTTCGACTCTAGGGGGCGGTGCTCATCCCCGTTTCCAAGCCATAGAGCCAGAGTTTTGTCCGAAGACAATCTTCCGTGGTCACATGGCCAGTGCAACTTAGACACGGAACGCTGTTACCTTCCCACCGAGGTGGTCCCTATTGATCTACTTGCATTTGGATGCTTTCGAACTGCTAGGTTGGCGGGAGGGTCTATGGCGTAAGGAGGGAGGAATTCATCCATTGTGGTAGAATGAGACATCCCCCTTCTAAAGGATTTAAATTTCTAAAATATAGGCATTTATTGTTCTACTGTTCCCTATCCCCCCCCAAAAAAACAACCACAGGAAATTGGGGAAAGTGCTGTGAAAAGTGGTGAAGGAGGATAAGCTAGCCAAACAGTTTTATAGCTTGAGGACCCAACTTTTGACCCTTTTTCCTGCACATCTGCAGATTATGTCTATTCAGTCTCAGGGCATGAATGATATGTCCCCTGACACTGTGTCAGACCTCTATTCTTGTGTCAACTTTGCAAGAGCGTATAAGGGGACTGGGAAGGGAGTTAGGTTGAAACTCTGAGCCTGATAAAGGTGCCTCAAGGCCACAGGAACCTACACCCGCCACTTGCTCAGATGGCATGTTCCCTGTGGGTGGCAATTCCTGAGCTCTTCTTGTAATCATTTAAACCGCCACGAAATCCACCGGGAACATACTTCTCTACATTCCCCACATTTGCTTTGCATCTCAGGGACCAATGATACAGTGGGGTCTTGACTTGAGAACTTAATCCGTATTGGAAGGCGATTCTCAAGTCAAAAAGTCTATAAGTCAAGTCTCCATTGACCTACAGTGCATTGAAAACCGATTAATCCCGTAACAGGCCGTTTTTGTTCCATTTTGGTTTTTTTCTGGTCTGTAAGTCAAATCTCAGTCTGCAAGTCAAACCTAAATTTTGTGGCCAGGGAAGGCTGTAACTCAAAAAGTCTGTAAGTCAAGCCGTCTGTAAGTCAAGGGTCCACTGTATGTTTTTGAAAAGAATGTCTGGAGAGTGCTGGAAGATGTGTGATTGTCACAGCATGAACACCACATCGTCCCATAGTCTGCAAATCTAATTTACTTTGTTTTGCGACTGGTCTTGTGGAAGTAAACATGGATTTTGTTTGCAAGTATGATTGCTAAACCACAAAGATGTGTCAAAATTACATCTCTGAAAGACTAACAGATTTCTACTTATGAAGACAGGCTCTCTCTAATATATAGCTCAGCTTTTCATGTGCAAAATGAAAAACTTGACTGAGCACTGGAGCATTATCCATCATACCTTATGGCAACTTCCATATTAGCTGGCTGTTGTTTACACTCCGCACCTTTTAAAAGAAGGTGCACTCATCACTCATCCTCAGTAAGGGCAGAGGCTTCTCCTAATTTAGAAAATAAGAAATGGATAGTAAATGGCCTTCCATACTTGTGGCACTGAAGGCCAAGTTGTACACTACAGATAGCCCATGACTACCAGAATGCCTCAAGTAATGAGAATGTGTGAGCAGGTGCTTTCTGTACCTCCCATACTTCCTGCATTTTTTTAAAAAAAAAATTCTTTGTGATTGGTCTTCTGGTTCTTAAAAAAGGGGGCTTCACAGCAAATTTGATTTCTCAGATGTGAAGTCCTGCCTGAATCATGCCTCTGGAACACAGATGTATTGCGGCATTTAATGACAGCCTTAGGTGTATTGTACAGTTTGTCCCTTAAACACAACACCTCAGGACAATATTGGGAAACAATCTGAGAAGAGAACCAGCAAAGAGAGAAAGATTCAGTGGGAGAAAACACTCCTTCCTTTGTGAGCCTGGAAGCTGCCAATATTGTCAATATCCTAAGAAACATCAACCCTTCAACCTTAAGCTTCTGTAATGTAGCTATGCCCCCAAGTGGTAACAATCATATCTCTCATGCCTAAATCAAGTCACCATTAATTACATGGAAGATATTGTTTTAGAAAATGCATACATTGATTTGCAGTACTGTTTTAACATTTTAATGGCATGATCCATGTGAAGCACATACTTAACTCTTTCTCTGAGCTCAATGGGATTTTAAGATAACATTCCGTGCAGACATACTTGAGAATAAGTCCAGCTTGAACCTGTTTTGATCAGAACAGTATTGAGAGAGGAATTTAATCCCCCAGATCATTTATGGACAATATCCCGAGTATATTCACGAAGGCTTTCACGGCCGGGATCTAATGGTTGTTGTGGGTTTTTCAGGCTCTTTGGCCGTGTTCTGAAGTGCTGTCTTCTGAAGATGCCGGCCACAGAGACTGTCGAAACGTTAGGCAGTCTGATCACAGACCTTCCATGTCATGTGTTTTGGAGTGATCCTGTATGCATACTGATGACTTGACTATTTGAAATTGAAATCAGTGAGATATTTGTGAGAAAGGAGGCATGGGATCACCTCCATGTCTGGATTAAGTTGGCTTAAAACTCCAGCCATCTCTAACCATCTACCATGCTGCCTGGGGAGGATGGGAGCTGGAATCCAATACTGTATGAGGCTGGCAGGGAGAAGAGCTTCTCCAAGCTTACATGAGAAGAACTTTGGGAACCTTTAATTTCAAAATGCACATTTACTTTCCACATTAAAATCCTGAATGGCTGATCTGTTTTTCAATCTATTTATTTATTTATTATTGGATTTACATTCCGCCCTTCTAGACAAAAGTCTACTCAGGACGGTTCACAACATTAAACAAATAAAAACAACAATTAAAAACTACAATAATAATATGATCAAGATGGGAGAATAAACAACAAAAGCAAGAAAGTACAATCAAGAATTGGCGGGAGGGAAGGCCTGCTTAAAGAGCCAAGTTTTTAATTGACTCTTAAAGGCAGATCTCTGGCGGCAAGCTGTTCCAGCCAGTTCTATTTTCAGTTAATATGTTTTTCATGCTAGAACTCTATCACTGACTATATTCTGCTATTGTTACATAATTCATACTTTAATGCACCAGTGAGAGAGTTACAGGAATAACAAAAATAGTTGATTTCTTGAAGTGCTAGAGAACACACCTGCCTAGAATAGATACCCATGACTTACCATCTTTATTATTATATACTCTGCAATGCACTGGAAACAATGAGCTGTGATATACGCAAATAACATTTGTGCATGCTCAGAGGCAGACTGTTTTTTCACCTATAGTACCTGGGATATTATCTAACCATGAAAATACAGTAAGTTCCTGATTAGAGTTATCTGCCACATCTCCATGGTTATTTGTCACTGCAGTGAATACCGTGTCTATGTTAAGCAACTTTGTTTTGCACAGATATATCAAATATGGTATCCCTTATGTCACTCATGTTAATGGATTTTTAAAACCTTTTAATTTAATTGTTTGTTTATTTCTTAAATTTGTATGCCATTCCCCATTAATGCTGAGGCACTACTCTGGGTGGATTATAATAATAAACAAAATAAAACAAGATATAACAAAAACTATTTAAAATCAGTATAGCAACGAACCAATAAAAAAAGATAGTGCAAAAAAGTGGTGGACAAAAGGCAATCAGCTAGGGTCGGTGTGGAAACCCTCCCTGAAAAGGCACATCTTCAGCTACCTCCTAAATGTCCACAGGGAGGGGGCCAGGTGAAGCTCCTTTGGAACCTGGTTCCATAAGGTTGGAGCCATCACAAAAAAGGCCCTGGCTCTAGTGGAAGATGTGTGGGTCTCCCCAAGGGTGGCCACCCAAAGGAGTCTTGCCTGTGATGATAGTGGGTCAGGTTAATTTTAACGGATTAAAATGCATACTAAATCACTGGATCTCAGTTCCCAGACTCCTGCAGCAGAAAAGTTCTGGGGAATGGGAAAGATTTCCAAAAAAAAAGTAGCATGACAAAGTTCTGTTAAAAGTTCTGGTGCCCTAACTTTCAGCTGACAGATTTTCAAAAATGTTTTTAATCAATAAAGAATGAAGATGCCAAAATGTGTCTTAAAAGATGTGTTCTTCTTTTATCTCCTATAGACCAAAGGTCTCTTTTGGCACAATGCCTGCTAGCTTAGAATACCCCATGGACACCACTGATAAATAGAAAAACAGCACGTTTCTTCCTTGCGAAGATGGACACATTTATTCAACCAGTCTATGAACAAATAAAACTGGCGTGATGAATCAATAACTAACTACAACTAGGTGACAGCCCCGCAATGGAAATACTAGTTAATGCCTTTGAGGAAGTGCTGCTACACTTTAAAAAAAAAAAAAGATATCACACAGCTTTGTTGTGGGTGTTTTGGCAGAAGAGTTGGTCTTTTCCCAGATGAGAACAGAGGGAAGACCCTCCTTTTGATAAAGGAATAAGTTATGGTGGAACATGGTGGACTCCTTCTTCACTGAAGGTTGCTAAGGAGAGGTTGGGTGGCCTACTGAAAGGGTTTCCTTCCCATGCTGCGATTCTATGATTTTGTTCCAGAATTCAGCTATGCAGGGAAAGACAGCGGGACCAATCGATACCTCAAACCCCCATTTGTCCTTCTTTGGACCTTGTGGCCTTCTACCAGGGCTGATGGGAACTGCAGTCCAACAACGTCTGGAACGCTACAAGTCCTCGAATGCTTGCTTTCCTGGAGGAGGGGGGTGGGGATGCGGCCGAACTGCGCCTCCTCGCAGCCCTTGCCATCGGCGATGCTGAGGTGAGCCTCCAGTTCAAAAATCCTCTGGTGGCCCGCAGGCTGCCGCCAAGCCCTTGGCCTGGAGCCCCGTTTCTTTTCTCCCAGCGGCTCACCTCCGCCAGGGGGCGGAAGAGCGACTCCTGGAGCCGGCAGGCCGAAGACCGAAGGGCCGCTTGCCTTCCCTTCCTAGCGGGTGCCCTCGCTTCGGCGGCGGCATCCATGCCCCGGTCGCGCTCACTCGCTGCCNGCGGCGGCGGCTCCCCCACCACCACGATGGCCGGGCGGCGCGGGATGCTGAAGCGCAAGCCCAACTTCACGCGGCAGGAAATCGACATCCTGACGAGCGAGGTGCTCAAGTACGAGCAGCTACTCTTCGGGGCCGCCGGCGGCAGCGCGAGAAGCAGAAGATCTGGTGGCGCATCACCAGCCAGATCAACGCGGCCGGGCGCAACCAGCGCATCATCGGGGAGGTCAAGAACCGCTGGGGGGGCCTCCGGCGTCGCGCCCACGACGAGGCCGCCGCCGGGCACTCCGGAGGTGGCGGCTTCGCACGGTGAGTGCTCCCCGCCCTCTGCCCGGGGGCTTCGCCTGTGGCGTCACAGGGCGGGAGTTTGTTTGCCGGAGGGGGAGAAAGTTGGGGTCCTCCTCTCCAGCCCTGCCGTTAAGTCACACGGCTCACAAAGCCAGCAGCTCTCAAGCGACGGGGTGGGGAGACAAGGCAGCCGCTTAAGAACCCTGCTCTGAGGAATTGAGCAGTGCGCCTTTCAGAGCGTCAAAAAAGTTACTTGTTTGGGAAGACAACTGCCAGCATCTCCCAACAGCCATCCAGAAAAGTAACGTTAAGCTCCACCTTTCCGATGGGAGCCGAAAGGTTCTTTGGATTCCTCACTTTGCCTTCTCCAACCAGGCAACGTCACCTTAAATAAATAATAAACAACATTCCCGGTTCTGTTGTAAGCATATGGGAATTATACGTGGAAGTTGTCAGGCTGAGGAAGGCTAGGTAAGGCAAGGCTGAAGTGAACTGAATCCAATCCTTCTGCTAAGATTTCTGTACCCTGTTCTGTCTCCAAGGTCAGGGTCAGGGATTTGAAATAACAAGGCAGAGAGACTTAGGGCTTCATCTCTCCTCAAGCATGTGTATAGTACAGTACACTATGTGCAAAACAGAACCAAAAGAGAAGAGCAGCTTGGATGAGACTAAAGACCAGTCTCGTGCCTGGCTCCAAATCAGTATAATGGGTATGACAGGGCTCCCTTGCAGGGTTTATTAAATTGATATATAGTACATGCATATTGGAGAAATATGTTAGATGTTGATTCACAGGTTTTGTGTTGTTGTTTTGCAAAGCAATCCAATGCTATTGTTTCTTATTTAAAGAATAACATATTCATAACATGTTGCATTTTACTGTGAGAGCTTGGAAACAGCACACTTAAAAAATAATAAAAACAGCTAAATATTCATCTAAGTGGATCCCCAGGGCATTGTAGAAATTAACAAGTAACTCTGCATCAAAAAGTGATGACTCTGCAACTCATTATGCTATAATTTAAATAAGACTTTTTTGACTTTGTTACCCCATCTCCAAAGTAATTGCGTCACAGGTAACACATACACTTGGAAGGTGCCGCTTCTATATCCTGCTTGCATTAATGTCTTCCTTCAGAGAAACAATCCCCAAATGTCAATAGGATCATTTGCCAAAGAGCCTTGCTTGTCCTGCTGAGCCTTGAAGTAACCAAACCCAGAATTGGGCAACATCTTGCAGATGTGGTTGCAACAGAACCCTGATGAAAGAATGGGGCTGTAGCAGAAGGTCACAGCAGTTTGGTTTTGAATGCTTTCTTAGGCACAGGAACACTGGATTCAGCTCCTATAAGCTAAGCATCAAGACTGAATCCAAGCCAATTTGCATCTGTCTGCAGTTATGAGGAATGAACACAACAAGCACAACGAGCCATGTTGACTTGCAGGGTAAGCACAAAATACTGCAAGGGGAGAAAATAATGGACTAATGAGTACTATTAAAGTGAGGAAGATCGGAAACTGCTGTGCAGAGGAGTACATTACTTAAGAGTTCAGCACCATCAAGCTCTCTTCCACATGTCAGGACTGCTGTGGACGGCAATGAAAAATGCACATAGGTTTTCTGTGCAACTGAGACAGCTGTTCCTGTTAGAACAAAAAGGACCGGGCTTAATGAAATAATTTATGAGAATCAGAAAACAGAGAGTGATGGAACTCATTGTTCTTCCATATTAGTCCACAAACGTATTTATGATACTAGCCAAATCATTTTTAAAGAGCCCTCCACACAATGATCTTGGGAGCCAACAAACTATTATCATGCATGCAGCAAATAGATAAGAATTACTTGTTCATATGTATTTCCTTTTTGTGTGAGCAAGGTATATGTCAGATCATTCAGGATTTATTATCGCACCAAATCTCATGCTGGCAAATTCTTATTCACTATCCAGTACATTGTACCAGGTGCTCTTAATATCATATGTATTTCCTTTTTGTGTGAGCAAGATCATTCAGGATTTATTTATTCATTACATTTATATTGCACCAAATCTCATGCTGGCAAATCCTTATTCACTATCCAATACATTGTACCAGGTGCTCTTAATGAAATGTTGACTTGTTTAAGGAAGACAAAATATGTCCATGGAAAGACATGTAGTTAGAAATTCAGGTAGCTAAGGAAAAAAGCAGGGAGGATATAGGTTAAAATTTGGAGACCTAAAGTGAAAGGAAATATTAATATCTGACATGTTCACCCAGAAGTAGGACTCCCTGGCTGGAATCCTGTTGCAGTTATGGAAACAGTGTAATTTTTAGACATGAATTGCCATTAAGCCAGAATGGATTTATAGTGGAATGTGTAAAAGGATAAAACATGAATTCAGGCTATATAGAAATTAGGAGCCATTAACTTTTCATATACTGTCAGCAGGGAGTATTTAGAGAATAGCTTTTCATTTGCTGAAACTGAAGGTACAAACATAGGTCTAGTCTCTATAGGTCAAATAACAATGACTTAGAAATCTGCTTAGTAACATTATTATTGTGTGCTAAACCTAAGGTTTGTGTTTTGACTTGCAAACCCCATGGGAAGGAAGAGGAAATCAAAGTCTTATGAGAAGAGAGAAGTGTATCTACCATAGATAAATAAAGATGCTATCACTTTACAATTAAACCCTTACAAGATTGACATGTCGGGAAATTGTGCATTTTTTAGCAAGCTGTCATAGTTGGCATTGTTTTGTACTTTTCTTGCTAAAACTAGAGCCTGGAAATATTACAACTCCCAGAATTTCCCAGGCAGTATGGGGATTCTGGGAGTTGTAGTCTAATAAAATAATTTTCTAAAGCCCTGGCTAAAACTCTAGAGTGTAGTTTCTAGTTCACTTTAGATAATACTCAAGGTCAAACTAAATGATACAGTATATGGATGTTAGGAAGGAAACATATTTAGAAGTGATGTTCCCTAAAGGTATGATAGGACTTGTTTGATAGAGACATGTTTTTCCTTACCACCATATCATGTTAGCTGTGCTTTGGTTTGTGATTGGTCACTAGAAGATAAACACAAGCTTGCTCTGCAAGTGTAAATGCTAAGGTAAACATCTCTGAGAAATTCTGCCACTGGAAGGAAAATATGTTAATCATAGAGAATACCCATTTTTCTTAATGTTTAGTTTTAGCGTCGTCTGGATAAGTGAATGTTATGAATTAGTACAGGGCAGCTTCCTATGTTTCATCTTGCATTTAATACAGTATTTTCTCTTTTTTTCTAGCTTCCCACTTGCTGAAGAGAAATTTCTCTGGTAGGTGGTGGTGTCTTGATTATGACTTCTCAGAGCACTTCTAACCTTGGTTTATAGAAAATATGGATGTTAGGAAGGGTGTGAAGAGGCATATTGTCCTTAAGGTAACTTCTGACTCGTGGTCACTTTGGCTTAACCTGGTCTGTTCCTTTTGTTCTTGACAGGTGTGAAGAAAGATCCAGTGAAGGAAGAACCAGAAGCAGATGTGAAGTCTGAGCCATTCTTCCCTCTTTCCACAGAGGTCCTGCAACGGTGCATGACCCGAGGAGCTGAGAGGCAGCTGTGGCTACTCAGAAGCTCTAGCCATGTCTCTGATGATCCCTGTGAAGGTTGGACTAGGAGCACTCCCAATTCCTCACAGACTGAGCTCTCATTCAGTGAGCCTGGGGGACAGCAGGAGGCCCTCGGTTCAGATTACACAAACCTCACATTCGACCAGGACTTGTCACATAGCAAGCTGAAAGACTGTAACCTGGGAGATACGGTAACTGCTGCGACTCTGCCAATCCAGGAAGGGCTGTTGGAAGAAAGCCTCCACTTTAGCCTGGCAGAGAGGCAGATTGTCCAGTCAAACGAGCAGCTAGTGCAAGAGGTGCGTGCCTTCCGGCAGGAGTATGCTGAAAGCCGCAGGGAGACGGCCTCCATCTTGCACAGCATGGCTGAAGCCCTAAGTGGTATCTGCAGCAGCCTCTCTGAAATCCGTGCTCTCTACCTCCGCCAGCAAGCAGTACCCAAGCAATGAGGGTCCTCTCAGGAGAAGACCCTCACCGTTCATAGGCACAGTGTATACTTTATAACTCCACAAAGTGTATCTACATGGGAAAGAATTGCTTCTGCTATTACAGATAATTTATTCATTTGCTTCCAGGACAGATTTTTGCCTCAGAGCTTCCTGGTTTCCAGCCTTCCAATTCCAGCTCAATAAAACTCTGAAATAGTGATCTCTAAGTGGTCATTCTGCCTGTTGTGCCCTTATATCACATTAGCTAAACAGTCATTTTTGTTTTGCTTTACCCAGTTTTGCTCTCCACCGAGGAACTGCAATCTTTTTTCTTAAACAATGCCAGCCCAAAGGGTGCATCCAACTGGCTCCTTTTCCCCCAGGGTCAACAATGAATCAAGCCACAAATGCCTAGGGCTGTCCTACTGAGATGCCTAAAGCTTGTGGCAGAGCCTTTTTATGTTTACCAGGTACTTTTTTGAACTACAGCTCCCATGATGCCACAGACCATGCTGGCTGTTGCATTCTGGGAGCTGTAGCGCCCCCCCCCCCAGTATCATTGCCTGTTTCTGGATTTTACCATTTTTATCATTTAATCATTCACACTGGAGCTATGCTGTTAACCAGATGTCAATATTCTTCTGTAAATCATCTGAGTATTATGGCCTAACTTAACAGAGAAATACTGCATAAATAGAACGGTCTTATTAGATTCCAATTCCTAGATAAAATCCACTTACTGGTAGAAGATGTTTATCCTATGGCAGATTATTGGTGAAAGAAACCCATTTAAAAAAATCTTGCTCCTAGATTGGAAAAAGGCTACTCAGTGGAAATAAATTAACATCCCTATTAATGTGGAACATAAGACCCTCAGGTCTCCCCACACTGATCCAAGAACATGTGATCTTTGCAACACTGACTAGCTGGTAGACTGGCTTAAAAAACGGGGGGGGGGAGAGAGAGATATAGAAGAGTGTTCGTATATAGTCAGTTGACAAGTTATGAAGCAAGTAAGAGGCCAAAACGCCCTGTTTCAGCCTGGTCCAGAAAGAACTATTTGGGTTTTTGAGGAATGGCTGCTTCAAGGAGATAGACAAGAAAGAGAGATGCTGAACCTCTGTAAAGGGAAGGAAAATAATAAAAATGTAATCAGAACAGTAGGCTCACACAGGGAAGAAGCTGAAGGAATTGTATGCCAAGACTACAGATCCAAACTGAAGTTTATGTTGCCATGGCAATCAAACTTTTGTTAGTTTTTTAACAGACACTGGCTAGGCTAGTGTGACATAGGTCCCCCCCCCACATTTCAGTTTTTTTCCAACTCTGTGGACACCTCATTGAAAGTTAGCCCCACTGTATTTAGTCAAGGTTACTTCTGAGTAGACATAATTGTAGTTAGTGAACTAGAGGGAGAATTTACACATTAGGAATGAGTGAAGCTTACTTTTGCAGTTGTATGTAAATGTTACTGCTCTTTGAGTCTACTTTTGAGTTCTACAAATTACCCGCGGATGCTTATATCGTCACAGGATAAGCAAACAGATTTCTAATTTCATTTCCACCATAGCCACCAACAGCATTAACATTATTTTCCTTTCCTAAGCTCTTTAATGTTCCACATGTAAGAGTTGGTATTGTATCTTCTATTAAGCACTGTTTTCTAGGACCTTCTGTCTCTGGTCCAGGTGAGGAAAAAAGTACCTGCCAGATCTTTTAGGTTTCAGTTCTCAGAAGTCTAGCCAGCAGTGATTCCTATGATAAGAGTCACAGCCCAAAATGTCTCCACAGCCAGTGGTTCTCTAACCTTCATTTATGCACCACCTCTTACGCTTACACGAAGAAGGCAGATGAACAGAAAGGGGGAGAAAGAACTTGATCAGTATTTACAATTTTAATACACATTTTAGTAAACATTGTGTGATGCAAACACTTGCCATTTTTTACTGTAACATAACTTAGCTGTACCGACTGCTGCTGGAATACAGAGGGACCACAGTGGGAACAAATTTTGAGCAAGTGGTTGGAGGCCATACATGCCTCCTGTCCCAAACTGGTGTCTTCTTAATGGCACACCACAGCTCAGAAGGAGATGCACTCTCACTAGAGGTTCTCTGGAAACAAGCAACAAACTCTGGGTCTGCAAGGTTGTGTTTTACTGAGGGGAAAGGCCCAAAACAGGAGTGACACAGTGTCTCATTCCCCTTCACAATGGATCCACTGACTACCCCAGTTGCCAAGAGCCATGAATTCCTGGAAACCATCATGTGAATGCACTTTTGCATGCTTGCACAAGGACTGTCTTTGTACTCTGGCTGGGTTAATCATCTCTCCAGCGAGTGACACAAAATACCTTGCACCCTCATTTCCACAGATGAGACCTTGCTGTAATCTGAGGAGAAAGACAAGTTTAAACCTGCACTGACAGACTGGGTGGGCTGGTTAGGAAGAAGCCATGCAGCAACAATACAGGCAATGCTGCAGGAAGAACGAGGAACCTCCACAGGAAATAAGGCTACACTGCAAAGGGAAAGAGGGGCTAGTTTAAAAGGCTTCACGGACATTCAACCACTGACTGCAAAGCTGAGAAGGGGAGGTTTGGTTGAAGAGCCACTGTACATGGGTCTATTTTAGCTGTTATTCTTTAGTGAAAAGAAAGGAGACCAGGCTAAGTGGCTGAGTTACAATCAAGGCCAGACCTGCTATTAGGCAGAGTTCAGTCACAGCTGATGCAGGGGATTGTGGCAGTCCTCTGGCTGTTTCTCCCAAGCTGTCCTTCATCTTTTATCCTCTGTCATCTTCTCTTGCTCCCCATGTTCTGCTACCAGTAAGATTCAACTGACAGAACCACATTCTATATGGAGGTGGAGCACCGTCTTGTTTTCACCTCAGGCTGTAAAATGGCTGGCCATTGTTAGAATATTTTGAAATACGAAATACAGTCCTGTGTCCTGTCATGAGAGGCTCTCAAGGACATTTTCACACACAGGATTTAAAAGAGATCCTTGGTGCAATCACATTCTGATAGCAACACAGATCAGAATGCTCACTGGCATTACAAATGGCACTCTTCATCCTTTGCCCTTTGCCCTAACAAAAGTAGATGTTAAAACCAATAGTGTCAGAGTGACACAAAAGCTGAAGAACAGCTGTGCTCGAAAAAGGACCACAAGAAATGCAAAAATGCCTTGGAGCTTGAAAAGCTGGCAAAGGGCAGAATAACCAAGACAAGATGGCAAGTGTGTGCGCATGTGCGACTGCCAGATGTCCAGGCTTCATGTTACTCTGTGAAACCAACATAGGGTAATATGTTGTTTATATCGGAATTCATCCTGTCAAAACAGACATTTTACAAACAAGGCTTTTAACTTATATTTTTGCTTAACTTGATCTATAATGTGAATATAACACCTGGATGGCTTAAGATGCAAGTTTTTAAAAGTCTCTTCCACATTCTGCCCTTCATTAACAACATTCATACAATGCAGACAACACGAAAGAGATTCAAAGACAGTAAGGCATTAGCATTCTGGGGGAAATTGTCAAAGACTCACACAAAGTTGAAATTACACACAGCACTGAGTCAGCTATCTTTATCACCCTTCCCACCCACCTCTGGCTCTACCCACAGGAAATGCAATTTTATGTTTGCAAGGGGAGACTTGGCCTACAAACCCTACAAAGCTTTTTTAGCTAATGCCAAGCAGTTCATCAGATATCTTGCCTATTCCTTCCGGGGCTTCGGCTCATCTCTTGCAAGGATTCTGCTCTAGGCTGGCCATTGAGCTGAGATTCCCACAATCCCCCACCATTGGCTATACTGGCCAGCGGTCATGAGAACTGTAGTCCCACAAAATAAGTGTTGCAGGCCCACATATTCTTTTCAGTCTGTACTTTGCACTGGCAGATTTATTTAGGTAACTCAGAATATGCTCCATGGGGTTTTCAGGCAGTATCCCTTCAAGGCACTGACCAGTTGGACATCTATGTAGTTCAATGAGACGTAAAACATCTCCGGAGTCTTGAGATGTACAGGCACCTTCACATCCACTTCTTCAAAACAGTTGGGGGCTTCCTTAAGACATAAAACCTCAATTAGGACCATGGTTGATCTTCATGTTTTCTAAGGGAACCTGGGTGAGCCAAAATCCAAGCATGACAATACTTGTTTCACTTTGCTCTTTTCTTTCTACCTTGAGGCAGTTGTCTTCCCACCTCCCACTGAAGACGTTCAGATGCACTGTAGCATACCAGTCTTCTGCACCTGTGTCGACATTAGCCCTTATCTGAACCCAAACAGGAAACAAGGAGGACTAGGAGATTCCCTAAATGACAAAGACAGGAAGGGAGGGGAGAGCACAGAAGAAGGGTTACAATGCTTCCCACCATGCAGAGCAAAAAGGATAAGTAGTAAGGAAACTAGCAAATACTGAAGCTTGGGCTGGAGCTTCAATGCAGCAGGAAGTTCATACAAGTTCTGTGGAGATGGTTCTGGCAGGCCCAGAGAGGAAGAATTTTGTTGTATCATCTCTGAAAGGTCTTCCTCAGGTGCTGGGCTGTGATGGCTGTGGTGGGATGTAGGGTGGAGGAGCTGTCAAAGGGAAAGACCGACTTTCAGAAATTGGCTGAAGACATGAACTAAAGCCCCCTCCCCCATTCTAGAAGGCTGAAACACCTTTCCTAAAGCTTAGTTACTGGTAGGAGGAGCCTTAATCTACAATATATGGTATCTTTGGCCCTGATCACACGAGGGAAATGTTTTCTAGTTATCCCCCAGTTAGATCATTGCTTTTTCTCTTTGTCTCATGATACACAATCAAGATCAAAACGTTTTCGCAGCCAGGTCTTCCTCAGGTGCTGGGCTGTGATGGCTGTGGTGGGATGTAGGGTGGAGGAGCTGTCAAAGGGAAAGACTAACTTTCAGAAATTGGCTGAAGACATTTAAGAATTTCAGAGAGCTGCAGTTATCCCCCAGTTAGATCATTGCTTTTTCTCTTTGTCTCATGATACACAATCAAGATCAAAACGTTTTCGCAGCCAGCCGTGTAACGGCAGTTTATTTTCCAGCCCTGGATTGAGAAAGGTTTTCCACTCTTGCCACCAGGATGTGGGGTGTAAGGAAAAGCTGTTGCCCAACATTTAAGAATTTCAGAGAGCTGAAGATAAGATTTCCCCACCTCTTAGAATCAGGGTCCTTCAGTCCTTTGTGAAAGCATCCTGAACCAAAATCATCCAGTTACCCAAAAAAACAAAAACAAAAAAAACCAAACACCGCCCTTCTTTTCCATCTTGGTAACACTGTAGGACTTTGGAAAGTACTGTCACAATGGCCAGGGATACCAGCCAGACTTGTCTTACCTGAAGGGTTGTAGTATGGTGGCCCAGGTGGATACAGAGGGTACTGTGCAGCTGGAAATGTAGGGGGGTAGCCAGCCACAGGTGCATATCCAGGATGAAATGGTGCTGGTCCTGCTTTGGGATCCATAGGATAAGCAACTGGAGGCTGTGGTGGGTACCCAGACAGTGGGATCTCCTGACCTGGATCAAAGAAAATAGGCACTGTGGACATGTATTATACTGCACTGGTGCTGCTTCTCAGGAAGAATGCTAAAAGGGATGCCCCCTTCTACTCTATAAGAGGTAGCTACATTTCAGAGAGGCCGTTTTTTTTCCCCTCCAGTTAGAGGATTGTCCCATCCTCTAAAACAAGCAGAATCCAAGCTTATGGGAGCTACTTTTCCCTAGAATCTCAAGGTTGACCACTCAGAACCTGCTATTAAAGATGTTGACAAAATTATTATTTTTTTGAAACTAGCATAAAAAACATCACATTGAATTTAAATTTTCTGACCCAGTTTATTGTCATATTCTTAAACAAAAGGAGTCAAAAATCCATTCTCCAACCTAAGACCAATCTCCCTAAGTGTTATCAGAAGGTCCAGCTCTACCTTCTGTCCATCCATGTTCTGTAATGTGCTCCTGGTGCTTATTTACAAGGGTAAATTCCCACATATAGTCTGACATCTAGTCATCTTACTGTTTCCAAAGACATCCCATGCACCTCTGCAAGCAATGCTACTGCCGAGTCACAAGGCTCTCTGGGCTGTAGCCAATAGTGGGCTAGCTTTAATGGATGGCTTAATACAGTTGTTCTCAATTGGTGTCACACGTACCACTAGTGAAGGTGGAAGGCAACGGAGATTTCTATACCGATTGCTAAAATATTTCTCTCCCTCCTATTCTCCAGCAAGTATGATATGCACTACAAACAGCCTTCTTAGAAAAAGTGGACTTTTTGTTCCTATTCTGATGGGACCCAGATTTGTTGACTGAGTGGATGATGTGATGAAAGACAGCAAAGGCTGAGAACTCTTGTGGCTTTGCATTGAGTGCTTGATTTTCACTGATCCTGACCAAACAGTGAAGCCCCTCTCACCCAAGAGGTGAGAAAAAGCTCGGTGCCCAAATGTGCATAAGAAGATCATTGCAGAGGAGGCTACAGAGCACTTGTAAGTCTTTTAGTCGATGAGTGCTCTAGGACTCCAAAGGAGGCAGGATCAAGGCCTGAGCCAAAATTTATAGGAGCTTTGTCCTCCTGGATCAGAGCTTTGTCCTCCTGGATCCACCAAGTCTGGCTCTCTATCACCCTATTTTGGTCTTCAGCCTCAAAGCATGTAGGGCTCAAAGGGGGTGGTAGAGACAGCAGCATGCAGTGGTGGGATTCAAATAAATTAACAACAGGTTCTATGTCCTAATGACAAATAAATAAATAACTTGTCAGTCACCCCCCTCTCTGCCTCGAGGCCATGAGCTTTCCTCCGGTGACGTCAAGGACTCATCCTCCCCCTCTTTCCCCCATTGACGCCTCTGCTCTTTCCAGGGCTCTCTCACCCACACCCCACCTCAGACGGCTCAGTGTGGCGCAGGAAGGGAGGCAGCTAATTGCACCCCCTCCCTCCGCTCGCCGCTGGTCACCTGGCCCCGCCTCCTTCATTCTCAGGCCAGCAAACGGTTCTACGAACCAATAGTACATTTAGGAACCGGTTCTATAGAATAGGTGCGAACCTGCTGAATCCCACCTCTGGCAGCATGCATTTATGCCCTGCAGACTTTGGTGTGCTTAACATGAAGCTCTGGAAGCTGAAGAGCTCCCTTTTCTAGGCTGACCATTGAGGCTGTGGAAACATTGAAAAATATTTCTGGATTCCCTCCACAATTAGCAAGGGTGAATTCAAAGTATTTTTTTAATGATCACTCAACAAAAAGTCCTCAGCTAGGACTTAAAGAGGGCAATTAGGGCAATCTGACCCACCAGATTAGTTCCAGAAGGCAATCTAGACCCTAGTGCCAATCCATTTCTCCACTCCTGTTCCAGAGTTCAGAAATCTGGATGGACTTTTCCCAGAATTATCTGCAATGCCTTGCATGAGTCTACACATCCAGTTACTGATCTGTTTTTAATTGCCCCAGATGTTAATAGTTTTCTCCACAGCTCAGCAGGGCACTAGCTCATTTTATTTATTTCTTTATTTTTATTTATTTACATTTCTCTGCAACTTTTCTCCCAATTACAGGACACAAAATGGTTCACAAGTTATTAAAAAGCAAACCAGCTAAAACCACAATACCCTATGACACTATAAAACAATTAAATATACAACAAAATTAAAACAATTAGAACTGTTAAGAGCACCTTAAAAACACATGGATACAGATACATGGTACCTGCATCAGAAATCTAGACATTCCTGATAGCCATAGCAGGTTTCACTGGGGCTTCCTTGGTGAAAAAGAAGGTGTTGGCCATCACTGCAGGACCTCTCTTACCTTGATAAGGAGTCTGAATGTGATGCCTCCGTTGATACAAATAGCAACAGGAGCACAGGAAACAGCAGACAATGGTGGCAACAATGGCCACAAAGAGTATCACAGCTGAAGCGATGCCAGCAATTGTTCTGGGGCTACAAGGCACAGAAAGAGACAATAACTGGGCCACTTATACATCAGCATCTGACACTGAACAAGTCACTAGTGATCCTTCTAAAATGTATAGTTTTAATGACATAGAAATGAATAGATTAAGTGATAATGGGAAGAACTTGTATTCGCTGCATAAAAGAGGTGAACTAGACCAGTGGTTCTCAAATTGGGATCCCCAGATGTTCTCGGACTGCAGTTCCTAGAAGCCTTCACCAGTATCTGTGCTGGCCAGGATTTCTGTGAGTTTCAGTCCAAGAACATCTGGGGACCCATTTGAGAGCCACTGAACTAGACGTCAGATTAATTTTTCTATCCTTAAAAATCAACTCACCCCCCCTGCTCACAGTGACGTGTGTAACAACCACCAACCAGAAACTTATTCACGTTAGCTTTGGCTGTTTGTGACTAATTGATGAGGTTCTAAGGTGTTCCTCACATCTGTATGGCCACGTGCCTTACTGCACATCTGAGCTGTGCAAAGTATGGCTTTCTTCAGTTAGTTGATTAACACACAGGAAACACTTCCTTTTCATCCCAGCTCTTTTCAAAACTACACTAAATCCCCCCTGCATGGGCATCAAAGAGAGGGGACTCCACTTGCACCAATGGAGCACTCCTCTACTTTTTCAGCCCCAATTTGGGGGGGGAGCAAAATTAAGTTTAAAAAAACAGGTGGGAGAGGCTCAAGACTTTTGTACCCATATCAGTCGACTGAATCCACCAGAAGCCTACCTGAGAGTAAAAACAAAAGTTTGAGCAGCCCCTATGCATTTAATGTAACAAGTAATTTATCCCATCTTGTCATCACATGATAAAAAGAGGACTAGGTTGGTATGAAGTCTTCTCCTGTCCGTCCTCTTCCTCAACTACTTTGGCCTTTCAAATGTGTCTGTAAGTCTCAATGCACAGCTTTCTCTCAATTCCCACCAGCCCTCTGTGCTTCTGGCCTATTCTTACCCAAATGTTCTGCAGCGGTTTTGCTGCCACTCCGTGAAGCGATTCCTGAAGTCCATACAGCAGTATCGATTATAGCAGTCCCCGCAGCAGAATTTGGGAATGTAGCAGTCGAAGCCAGGATGAAAGGAATTGTTTCTGTCCAGGTACCACTTGCAGTCCTCATCAGCGGAGACTGCAGGGAGATAGTGCAGAAACAGCTGCTCAAACGACCACACACAAGGGTAGAGGCAAACCTGTTAAGAACACAGTGCTAGGACTGACTGTGGCCATCCTGCAGCTGTGTCTGGAGAATGTACGTGCGGACTGCAGTCCTCTCACAGTCTGCAGAACACACAAAAGCATTATATTTAGCCTGCTTTTCAGCCAGAAGGTCATAGACCAGTGGTGGGAACAATAAAGTCCTCCAGATGTTATTGGACTGTGACATTCAGCAGTCCTTATCAGTACACTCAGTGATGGAGGATGACAGAGGCTGTAATCCAATACTGACTGGAGGGTCAAGTTTTACATCATTGCTGTACCTTTTTTTAAAAAAAATGTCAAGGTGCAGCAGAAGTATTCTCAAAGACATTCCTGGTTGGGATTATCTAAATCAGTGCTTCCCGACCTTGACTAACCCAGGTGTTCTTGGACTGCAACTCCCACAAGCCTGCACCAATATCTGTGCTAGTGGGGGTTTCTGGGAGCTGCAGTCCAAGTCACTTTGGGTTACCCAAGGTTCGGAACCACTGATCTAAATCTATAAATCATTACCAGAACATATTATATTTGATTTAACTTTAATTTTGCTGCAGATACTGCCTATCAGGTAGTTTTAAAAGTTATACCTTTTAAAAGAAAATATGTTTTCTAAACCTTGGCTTACTAGCTCCTTGTCAGAGATGACAGCGTGTCTGATTCTCACCAACCAGTTCATTGGCTTGTGTCAGTGCTATTGCACTCATTTGTTCTGGAAAATAATATAAAAGTGTACCAGAAATCAACCCAATCACCCAGAATGGAAGCTGAGTCTCATACAGGGCTTTGTGGCGCAGTGGTTAAACTGCTGTACTGCAGCCAAAACTGTGCTCACGATCTGGGGTTCAATCCCAGGTAGCGGCTCAAGGTTGACTCAGCCTTCTAGCCTTCCGAGGTCAGTAAAATGAGTACCCAGCTTGCTGGGGGGGGGGGCAATGTGTAGCCTGCATAATTAACTTGTAAACCGCCCAGAGAGTGCTTGAAGCGCTCTGGGGTGGTATATAAGCAGCACGCTTTGCTTTTTTGCTTTTATACATCCAAGGGATCAGGATCCATTTCTATGGCAACGAGGATATCAAGATACATATCATACCTCCCTTCTAAGTGCAGTGAAAATTTCCTGTATGAGTACATGCAACTGGGTAAGAAATCTGCTCCCCATCACGCCCCTCATTCCAAATGTGTTATTGTAAATGCGGTGATCAATGGGGGGCCCTGATATTTTAAATGCTTAATTTTCCTGTCTAATCCAAGCAACACCACAGCTCCAGTTGCGCATTCAATTGGTTTGGCATGAAATATGAAGGGATCTGAAGGTTTGGGTGCCAGTCTCTCCCCCGACAATATCTTCATCCCTAATGGCTTTATGCTGAACCTTCCTGTACTGAGCAGACAGATCTAAAGGGGGATTCTACTTATGTTCACCTAAGCATGCAGAACCCCAATAATGCAGGGTTCCTCATGAATGGAAGAGCCATCCAAAAATGCAGACAATCATCTCTCAAACCTTCCTGCTCCATATGGGGCAGGAGAGGAATCAGTAAAGATATGCCAGGGAAGACACACACCAGGATATGTGTGGTACCAGGTCTAAAATATATAGTGGTGTCTCGACTTATGACATCCCGACTTAACGACCATTTCGAGTTACGACCAGCTCCGGTCACAAAATTTTGCTTCAACTTGCGGCCGGAGCTTCGAGTTACAACTAAAAAAACGCAGGGAAATTCAAATTGCTAACTGTTGGTAGGCGAAGAGGCTTCTTCTTTGTAGCTCTTTTGCTCCAACGGGTAGAGTGAGTGCGATTGGAGGAGGCTTCGGACTGCCTGGTAAGGTAAGGTGCTGCTTTCTGCTTTTTAAAAACTGTTCTGGGTGGGTTTTGCAGCGTGGTTTTGGGCCGGGTGGTGGGATTATGTTTCTATGCTGTGATGGGTCGTGCAGGGCTTGTTTGTTTTTTGGAGCTTTTTTCCCCATTTCTGATGGGTCTCGAGGGGTTTGTTTGCTTTATGCTTTTTGGGTTTTCTTCCCATTTCTGATGGGTCTTGGGGGGTTGTTTGCTTTTGGGGGGTTCCCATTTCCGATGGGTCTTGGGGAGTCTGTTTGCTTTTTGGGTTTTGGGTTTTTTTCCCCATTTCCAATGGGTCTTTGGGGGGTTGTTTGCTCTTTGGGTTTTTTTCTTCCCATTTCCGATGGGCCTTGTGGGGTTTGCTTTTTTTGCATCTTTTCTTTCTTTTTCTTTTTCTTTCTTTTTCTTTTTCTTCTTTTCTTTTGCATTTCCGAAGGGTCTTGGACGGTTTGCTTGCTTTTTTGCATTTCTGAAGGGTCTTGCACGGTTTGCTTGCTTTTTGCTCTGCTTTTTTGCATTTCCAATGGGTCTTGCATGGTTTGCTTGCTTTCTGCTTTGCAATTTTTGCATCTGTCATGGGTCTTGCATGGTTTGCTTGCTTTTCTTTTCTCCCCCCCCCCTTCAACCAGAATGGATTAGTTGCATTTCCGATGGGTCCTGCAGTGGTTTGTTTGTTTTTTGTGATTTTTTTCTTTGGCTAGAATGGACTAAGTGCATTTCAATGCATTATTGTGGGAAATGGTGCTTCGACTTATGACCATTTTGAATTATGACCATCTTCTGGAACCGATTAAGTTTGTAAGTTGAGGCACCACTGTACTGGCCATGTATATACACCATTTCCCACTTTCCTGGATCCATTAAAGATCTCATAAAATCTAGAACTGAATGGGAGAGTATTTCTAGTTTCTAAAAAAATGTAGGTCCAACCCCTGTATGCCTCCTCGCCTACATTGTGTGAAAGCACCAATACTGCTTGTCTTTCATGTATATACCAGCCATTCAGTGTTTGAAGAAAGACAATATCAATTAAATAAATAAATTAAATAAATGTATTTATTTGACTGATACTCAGTCCTTTCCCAAACACTAGGTGGATAACAACAAGCTCAATTTAAAGGGGTATAGATTAAAAACACAAAAGATTATATATTAGAACACAATTAAACTAAGTATAATATTAAATATAATCAAATTAAAATGAATTTAAAAATATAGCAATAAAAAAGTGCAGCATCCACTCGTTAAAAGCCCCTTTTCAGCAGCCAAATATATTTATTGGCTATTGAAAGCCCAATGTTCTTTCAAGAAATATCTTCGGCATCGTTTAGTCGTGTTCAACTCTTCGTGACACCACCTTAGCCCTACCTGAAGTGTATCTCTCCCCCCTCCCCGGTCGCCACCTTTTCCTAAGAAGGAGAAGCAGACTAACAGCAGCAAGCTCACTTCTCATCCCTTTCCATCTTGTTTTTATCTCTACAACAGTTAAGTGAACAATTTTGCTATTTTGTTTATATTATCAGTTCCCTCCATTAATGGAAAACCTATGCTCTTATCACTATTCTCCTCTACTGCCTTATAAGGGCACTCCACTGCCTTGACTATGATTAACAAGCTGGAATTACTTGTGCTGCGATCCCTTGAATTTAGAAAGAAGTATTAGCTCCTAGGCCATCTCCATTGGTGAGACAGCAATCTGTCCTCAGACATAACAGAGCCACTCAGAAGACCTTATTCCCTGAATATAAGGTAGTAGCCTGCAGGTATGCACAAACAAATATTCCAAGCAAGTGTGGCAACCACTGTTCACATCTCTGTTCCTAGACCTAAACTGTTTTTCTTTCTAGACATCATGAATCACATGACATTAAACAGATGCAAGGCAAAGATGTTAGAGACATCGACATGCCCAGTTCCTGGAAACATGGCTTAGCATGCACATATGAAAGCTGTCACAGGAGAAAAACACAGACACATGGCGATCATGTTACCTTAGACCTAGCCATGGGTCACAGCCGTTGGTGGGAGGGCAAGGGAGAAGAAACTGGAATGCCTGTGTTCTCTAGATGTAGGTTGGGCAGCTGCCGTGGTTTTATATTGCCACCTAGAGTATCATGTGTTGGAAATCATACTCATGTTCCAAGTTCCTGCTCTTTAAAATGGGATCTCGACTTATGGAACATGATCAGCTGCCTTGGAATGGCCAGAAGTGCTCCTTACTCTGCTCCGTAAACAAATTGCAGTTTTACTAATGAAACCTGCATTGGCCGGCCAGCCCTGGCTCTTTGATCAGATGTCCAGTCTCACACTGCTCTCTGTTCGTGACCTTTCAGCCACATTGCCAACCACAAACAATTTGGGGAGCTTACTTATTTTAAACACAGAATGGAACCTTAGCATGCAGGGTTATTTATTTATTTTACTAGTGAGGGATTCTGCTGGCAGCTACAGAAAATTGCCCTCACATCAATCAAACTATACATATCTGGCTGCCAAGCTAGGCATTCACACCAATTACTCTAAAGATTATTATACACAGTTACACACCATATGTTGTGTATTAAATGAACATTAACGAATTTCATTTTTAACCACTGAACTTCTGAAGAAATTGTCATAGAAACCTGGAATACTCAAGTTGTTTTTTAATTTGCTTCATTTATCTCCTCCTCCTCCTCCTGTAACTCAGAGACATGTATACAATTCCATCCTCATCCCGCTGCACCTTTACAACAACCTTGTGAGATTAACCTAGATTTCAACATAGCAACTGGCCCCTTGGCTCAGTGAAGTTTATGACTGTATGGATTTGAAGTTCCATCCTCCCAAGCCAAACGCTACTTTTAATTACAATTGGTCCAAACTTATTAGACATCATGTGCAGTTCAAAAAAGCAGATCCTGCAAGTATATAAGGATTCCCCGTAATCAAGCAGGGTGGTGTTTCAATACTGGACAGCATCTCAGAATGTGCCCGTAAGCTCTGGCAATGCATCCCAAATCAAACAATAATCATATGCCATCAAGTCGATTCTGACTTTCCAGGTTTTTCTAGGTACAGAATATACAGAAATGATTTTCCATTCCCTT